ACTCTTTCCAAAGGTACAAGAGTTCCCTGTCGGAGCGATACCCTCCCCTTTGTCAAGATTGTTCTCCGCAAGTGATGAGGACGTTGGAGGAAAGGGATCAGATGGTCAGATCTTGGACCATGGGAAGGTGGTTGGAAAGAAGGTTCAAAGCTGGGGATGATCGTCGCCCCCATCATTCCGAAAAGGATACGAGGAGTCAGGTCGGAGAGGATGAGGATGGGTCGGCTTTCAACGGGCGACTGGCCAAAGCGGATGCCGCTCTACCAGCTTCGAGGCGAGAAAGGAGGATGAAGGATCTGATCTGGGTTTTAAGGGCAGCTTGTTATCTGGTTTCTAGCTTTGTGCTCTGGTCTATCTCAGCATTTGCGCTATTCGGCTCGGAAGCTTCCCTCCAAGAAGCTCTTAGCCGCATCGAACAGCAATGTATCAGCCATGGCACGGTGATGAGAAGGTCGCTTGGCGGAATTTCGCTTCTGGTCTCTTCCATCCTCGCCTTCCAGGCATACCTTTGGGATCCAACCGCCAGGAAGGTCTTGAGAGCTAGGATGCGAGGTTCAAGGCCTACAGTCAGTGGTCTGGATCGTTGGAAGGCTAACCAGTTTACCATTCTCATCTTGAGATCGTCCGCCATCCTCCTTCTATCTGGCTGCCTGGTCCAAAAGCTGGGAAGATCCGGTCAGCGGTTGACGGACTTCGTCTCGAGCCCGGGTGATTTGATCACCCTCAGGCTTGTCTTCCTATGCTACTCGGCTTTAGATTTCGCCTTGTTCTACTTTTCCATCTCGAAACTCAGGGTGACCACATCGACGACCCTCCGATTAGTATCCAAATCCTCCCATGCTCAAGCGGCGGGGGAAGCAGCGACAGTCTTCAGAACAGGAAGGGGAGGGGAAGGATTGGATCCACTCAGCTCCCTCTCTCTGAGAGATGAGGATCCAGTCTGGACGCTGTCCAACAGGCGGAGCGGAAGAAATGTCGGCTCCAAGGAAGAAGGAAGAGAGAGGGATCCCGACCGAGGGCCCATCTCTCAATTCGGACTGGAAAACCTCCTGTCAAACCTCGATCGAGAAGATCCTGTCAAGCCCTCTTGGCAAAAGGATCGGGATCGGTACGGGCACGGAAACCAGGATGAAAATGGGGGCGACCACGATATTCTTCATAGATTGAAGAGCAAGGATGCGGATGGAGATGAGATCATGAACCCTATCTCTGACCCAGCCGAACAAGGGGAAGATATCCAAGGCTGGAACGACCTGCGTGAGGAAGAGGAGGAGAATCCCTCGAGCATCCACTGGAGAATGATGAATCCACATTCCAGACCTTATACCATAGCGGGGACGTTGGAAGGGGGGAGCAGAGATCCAAGCCGAGGCGATCAAAATCCCAATACCAGATTCCCAGGCACCCGACAACAAGGCACCGGCCATGTTTTCGGCCAAACTGTTCCTACGCTGCGGAGGAGCGGCGGCAGCGGCAAGTCTTTGGCGAGGGAAATCCAACTCGGGCCTCAGAGGTTCTGGGAGCCTCAGAAGCCCACCGGTTTGGAAGAAGTCTTCGGAAGGTCGGTCAGGCTCTCTGACGCTGGCGACGGGTCCAAGGTAGAGGCAGAGGATGAGAGAGAAGGTCCTAGGGGGATTGATCTTCAAGGTGGACAAGAGGGGCCAAGCAAGAGTTGGAAGTGGGCTTTGCCACTTTTCGGACTGAGCGCTTCCCAAGTCCCGCAGGGATCTGATGATGGTAGTGGAGGTGAGAGAGCTAGTTCAACGCAGAATCGATCGAGACGATGAAAAGAGGGTATTTGAATCCAAGACACCATGATTCGCTCTATCGTTCGTCGAGAAGAGTGCCGGCACGTGTGTTGAAGGGAGTCTCACGATACCCAACCTCCCTCCGTGTAATACAATTGCATTCGATGATGATTTACATTTTGTACAGTAGGTGGTACATTCCGCCAATCCCAAGTAAAAGGAGGAGCGTAGAGGGATCAACCACAAAGAGGTGACAGAACAAGCTTCCAGGATGTCCAGTTCCACCAAATCTGTTCGAATCCCACTGGGTGTAGGTTTCGACGGATCCAAACGGGAGAGAAAGAAGGACTGCCGCTGGCTCTCATTCCTCAAAGTCCAAGTCCATCCCGAATCCCTCATCATCGGATCCAAAGATGCGCGGATCCAGCAAACCTCTGAGGCTCTCCTCCTCGTTGATGCCATTGCCTTCCCATTCGTCCTCGTCCTCGTCCTCTTCTTCTTCTTCCTCATCCTCCCTTGCATGCGGTCCAACCTCCTTCCCCTTTCCTTTCTCCATGGACTTGTCAACATGACCACCCTCGATTTGTTCAACAATCTCTACCTCCTCTTCCCGATCTTCGTACCTTGTTCCGATCCTGTGCATGCCCCTTGTCTTGGGCCTTGGATGTTGTTCCTCTCTCTCGGTGCTTTCTCCGCTACTGACCGTCTCCGACCTTGCCCTTCTTTCTCTCCTTCTTTCCTTCCTCCTATTCCCGTTCAAGCTCTCCTCCCTCTCCAGCTGGTTGAACCGGATCCCCCTGGCTCTTGTCCTCTTCCCGTTCACCCACCTGAGTCCATCCTCGTCCTCCTCGCCCTCTTCATAATCTTCTGCTCTCCTCTTGCGCTTAGCTCCCCCTCCACTCACATGGCCAGCGCCGCCGTCAGCCTGAGAGAGATCATCGCTGCCGTCGTCCCAATCTCCCGTCGAGATCTTGATCAGCCTCAGCTTTTCAACCTCTCCCTCATTACGCAAGTAGCTTTGCATCTCTCCCTTCGAGAATAGAAGCGAGTCGACCTCCTCCTCGTTGAGGAGATCTAAAAGGTGTTCATCGACCCCCTTTCCCTTGCCTTTGACATTCGCCTTTCCGTTCCCTTTGGTTCGACTTGCGGCAACGCTCGCTGCTCTCCCCTCAGGTCGAACGTGATCGATGATCTTGTCCTTGAGGTTTTCATAGTAACTCTTCAAACTCGCATCCAACCCTTGGTTGGAAGTTCTTTCTTCTTCTCTCTGCCTCCTCTCTCGCTCTAATCGCTCGAGGAGTCTGACCATCTTCCTGATCCTGCTTCGGGCGAAATCCTTTTTCCACCCGGCATCGTCGAATTTCAAACCGAACTCGAGGAGGGACGACCTCAAAACCTCAATCCTAACCGCTTCCCCAACGTCATTCCCATTCTCCTTGTTGCCAAAGGCTTTCCTCAGTTTCTTCTTGATCTCGGCCATCTTCTCCCTCCTCTCTTCAAATCTGCTTTCGAGTGAATCCTTGAAAAGCACCACATCCTCGATGTAGAACGCAAGTTGCCACCTTTTCAAGTACCTCACCTCCCTTCCTCCTGGTTTGGGCGGTAGGGGATCGTCGGTGGCGTAAATGTTTTGCAGGACCGCGCTCTGCCTCTGCAAAGAGTCCCTTGATCCCAGATCCTTGTCCATCTCCCTGACCCAAGGGAGTCCCATGGCCCACTCGCTCAACAGCTTGGAGACCTCGGAATATCGCTGCTGGATTGCGGTTCTCGACGTGTTGAGCGGTGTCTGATCGGGATCTTCTTCCGCCTCGTCCTCATCGTCCTCTTCGTCCTCTTGTTCCCTCCTTCTTCCTTCCCCTTCCTCCTCCCTTGGCCTCGGTGGCCCTTCCCCGGCCAAGGTGTCTTGACCTCCCCAGACGACCATGGGTGCGATCCGGAACATGGACACCTGAGGGCATACTCTCTTCAACACCCCTTCGAAGGCCAACAGGATGATGGAAAACGTGCATATCTTTGAGTCCACCTTCAACTTCCTCAAGGGCCAAAAGATGTTTGAGATCCCCTTAGCCAGCTCTCTCACCTTGTCCAAAGAGGCTGCCGGGTCCCTCGCCTCCCCCCCACGCTTGAACGTTTCGGAGACGGCCGTGGACCTCTTGAAAGGTTGGAGGTAGGACTTGATGTCACTTGAAAGGAGTCGATCGGCTCTTTCGTCGTCCTCCAAGACTGCTTGGAACCAATCGACCTGCGAATCGACGTAGACCTCCGGGTGGAACTCGTCCACGCAGTCAAGGCCTGGACTTGCCAAGGACTTGAGGTATCTCAGACTCCGTAGCGTTTTCGAGAGCGGCGTTCCGCAGACTTCGGAGACGGTCTCGAGGCTGACCAAGACCTTTTCCCTGCGAAGAGCTGCAAAGATGCAAGCTGCCGCCATGTACTCTGCCAGCGAACCCCAACTAATGATGGAATGGCCCCTCCTGATCTTGATCGCAACCTGAGGAAAGCTTTTGTCGAGCTTGGACTTGATGAGGAAATCGTTGATCTTGTCCATCCGAGATTGGGCGGCTTCCTTTGCCTGGTCGAAGAGGTTGATCGCCCTGGAATGAAAGGATTCGTGACCTAGCTTTCTGAGAGATCCGACGATCAGACTGACGATCTGAGGACGGTTTTGGTACCTACTGGCCTCTCTGCTGACCTCGATCGAGTACTGAGGTAGCTTGAACCTGGATAGTAGGGCGGCGCTGCCTACGACCGAGCTATCCGGGCGGTTGAGGTAATCCAGACCTTCGCCTGAAGGGTGATAATCCTCTACTGTCTCAAAGGCGACATCTTCAACGCAGTGGCCACATACGTTGCAGACGTGGTTGTAGATCTGAGGGAGGTATTCGATCGAGTTGAGAGAGCCGCACGAGGGGCACTTGGAAGGGACGGATGGCATTCTCGCCTATTCGTAATCACACAGGCCGAGGAGTGCTTGCTAAAAGGGAATCGGAGTCGTCCCTGAGTTTGGCCTGGAAAGGAGTGGGATGCATCACACACAAGTCCTTCATGGAAGAGGGAGTGTGTTTGTGAAAGAGAGAGAGTGCGTGTGAGAGAAAGAGGTGAGGAGAGAGAGAGAGTGTGTGAGATAATGGAAGGATTTTCAGCTTGTGTGAGGAACAAGGAACAAGTTCGTTCACACTCATTGTCTTCATCATTTTGACCTAGACAAGCTAATGATTATTATTATTATTTTTAAATTTGCGAAACATCTACTCCCGCTTAACTCAGTGGTAGAGTGCGTCACTAGTAGTTCTTAAGACTTCCGACTCCAATGAGTTGCCATGACGAAGTCAGTCGTTCAAATCGGCTAGTGGGAATATTTTTAATTTTTTTCTTTCTTCCTTTCATTTTTTCCCCCTGGTATCTGAATTCCATGTATCGAGAGAGCCTGTCAAAGTGCAAGGGTTCAGTCATGGGAGGGACTGGATCCCCTGTATTAAGCACCAGTTCCTGCCTGTGATTGTCGGAAAATTGTTGGATTCGAGACCACTCTGCCTTCAGACTCGGATGACCAAGTACGTCCAAACGAGTGGGAATGGATGGCCATAAAACGCAACTATCTCTTCACAGGAAGTTCACGCCCGGGATATCTGTTCACTCTTAGGGTATACAAAGCATCTAGCGTCAAAACTTTCCCAGCCAATCCCTTAGATCGACCCAAGGTTTGGGGAGATGAGCTTTCATACTAAAGGGAACTAAGGGGAAAGATCAAAAAAGGAGAAAGGAAGGAAGGAGAGAGAAGAGGAAAGACAAGGAGGAGCAAAAAATAAAATAAAATAAAGTCGACGCCCGAGATTCATGGGTATCAATCAAAAAACTGGAGGAGGTCGGCGGAGAGAGCCTCGTCGATGAAGCCGATGGCATTCTCGAAGAGCGTCGGGATGTCACACGTGGAGTAGGGAAAGCTTGGACCCTCGAGGTTTGAAAGCCCACTCAGGGTGGAGGTGATGGTCACCTCCGCGGAAGTTTTGCTCGTGTGACGATCCCCGCATTGGTGTTGGTCCCCGTCATCGCCGCCACCGCTCATCATCCTACCATCACCTTCCAAGACGCCTTGGCCCTCCTCATACTCTACCAGCTCGCTGTTAAAAACTGGATCGAGGGTGGAACCTACCTGCCCAAAGCCCCTGGCCGAGACAGCGGCTTCGAGCCTTGTGGCGCTGGTCAGCAAGGCGGAAGAAGCTTGGGAAAACCCTAGTTGGAGAGCCTCCTTGGCTTGGTCGACCAGGTATGAGACCGTGTCAAGTGGGATCCTGACAAAGATGAAGTTGCTGAACTTCAAGAGGTTTAACAGCGCACACTCTTCCGTCAAACTGACGATCCGTCCGGCCGAAAAGGAAGCCAGCCCTTGAGCAGCGGACGAGGCTGCCTGGCTGGTAACGTGAGGGGCGTCCTTGTCGAACCCCCTTATCCGAACAAAGGTGTGAATCAGGATTGAGAAGTGAAGGAGGACCATATTGACGAAGGCGATCCTGGCAAGCCTCGGCAGGTTTCCTTCCAACCTGCCCACCAGCTTGTTACGGTAGGGGTCCCAGCTCAGCGAACCAGGAAGTGACGCTCTGAACTCCTCGACCTTTTTCACAATGCTGATCACGTGGATAGGGTTGATGCCGACCCTTTTGGCCTTCGGAGAGTTGGCTTTGACGTTGAAGTCTCGGGCCAGGGCGGCTAGCGAGGACATCTGGTTGACCCAGTCACGAAAGAGTTGGGTCTCGAAATAGGTCGGGAGGAAGGAGGCATCGATCCGCTCGTTGCTGATCAAAGGCAGCTCGCCGATCCTTAACTGTGAGAAGGCGTCGATGGCGTAGGTGAGCCAGAAAATGGTCACCTTGCGGATCAAATCTGGGTCGTTGACCGTCTTCACGGCGGATGAGTCATCGGCCTTGATCACTCTTGGGTTGGCAGTCCAGGTGGCGTTCTCATTGAGCCTCGCTCCGAGTACCAACCTGACCAGAGCCTCATGGCTCAAGGGGTGAATCTTGAGAGGATCTCGGTTGTTGGCCTCCCACTTTTGGATCGCTTCGGCGAGCGGCTTGAGTCCGGTTGCGGCGATGATGGTGTCCATCAGATCCAAGTGGTCTGTCTCGTGCCACTTGGTTCCGAACGCCAGCTCCTCGAGCCTCTTCGCCATCCTTCTTTGAACATCCAAGCGATCCGGCACGTCCTCGACATGGCCAATCCCGACAGAGGCGGCCGCAAGGATGTAGCATACAGGTGCAGGTTTGACATGGGGAACTGGGCGAGGATGTAAGGACGAAGAAGTAGCCATTGAGTTTGCTTCCGTTGTCAGGTTGGACTTTGACCTTCGACGGTCATGGAGTGCAAAGTAGGCTCTGTACCGTTGCCAGAAAGTCTGAGCGTCTGTAGCGAGGTTACAATGCACATTGTTTGTGAGGAACTGGATGCAAGCCGAATCGAGAGTGGCCCTGTCCAGACCAGCGATACCAAAGATCCAGTTCGGCTTCTTCCTTTTCTTGTCATTTTTGTCGTGCTTGGAGGGTCGATCTGAGGAGGATTCGATGAAGGAGGGAGAAAGTGGATGATCAGGCAGCATTGTGTGATGGACTGCAAGGCTGGCAGCCGGAGGAGAAAAAACTTGAAAGCTACGCTTTGGCATTGGTATATGGTACGTGTGCTAGCAGATAGTTTGCAACAGGTAAAGTATCAGCCGGGAATGTTGGTATCACTGTGATCTTGGTATGAAGGGAGCTTTGTTCCTGCCCTGATGGTAGCACCGAAGTAAAAAGCGTGGATGGCGTGGGTAGAGGGAAAAAAAAAGGGAGAGGGGGAGGGATGGGGGTTGGGGTCTAACGGGGGATGGACAGGGTTCTTCAACAGACGACCCGCCCTCTCCCCAACTCCCCCTCTCTTGCTCTCTCCATCCTTTCTCCCATTTCGCATACAGGGGGTAAAGGTGAGAGTTAGGGGGGGAGTGAAAGGGTCTGTCGAGAGATTGGAAGGTGTGGGGTAGATGATGGTTGACCGAGATGACTACATCTCAAGAGGCAAGGTTGGGCTTGGCAGGTTCGGGATTCGGCAACTCGACGCCCTTTCATCGACCCGTCATCAACACTTGGACAACACCTCATGCTTCGGGCCGGGCCGGTGAATGTTATCGAGGCAAAGGCCCACAGCAAGGCCGTCACAAATCAAAGCCGTCCAGTTGATACGCCGTTGGCTCGGGTAACATGAAACCCCCGTCCGCAGGGAAGCCTCAAGGTGTCTTCATGACAAAGAAAGTCCTCAACCTTGACATGCACCCAACGGCAGCCGTCTCGCCTCATCCAGGATGTCTTGCTCCCCCCCCCCAATTCGTTTCCCCCAACCTGAGGGCTTGGCGGCGCGTCATCTAGCCTTTCGAAGAGTTCCTCACAAGGTTGTTGAATTGTGAAACTTGAAGGCCGGGTTGGATCTGATCGCGATTCGACGGTGTCTGCTGCTGAGATGGGGTGAATGAAGCCTGGTTGGGGTGATGATGCAACCCTGCCGTATCCTTTTACCCTCTCTGTTCCTCTACGTCCCTCCCTCTTCCCCCTCCCCCCCGTCTCTTTCCATTCCTTGGATGGCGATGTGAGAGGCGGACAGGCAGGAGAAGCTAGAGGCAGTGCCAGCGAGTAGAAGAGGTGTGAGGTGGACAAGAGAATACGGATCACCAATCAGAACCACGTTCACGCTGTGGACTCTTCACATGATCAGCGTGTAAGAAAGGGAAGGAATGAGAAAAAAAAAAACAGTGGTAGCAGGCAAAATGCACGGGGCAGAAGGAGGAGAAGGAAGTGGATCGATCGTCTTTTTTCGAGTATGGGATACGCTTCCTGCTCCCATCGCCCATCCTTACCTCTGTTGAAAGCAGCATTCATTCACTCGCACTCCTCTACGCTCTCTCACTTGATTCTGCCTTGTCCAAGTGGCCGGCGACGATCAAGAAATCACTCAACCAACCATCACCTTAAACCCTCTTGCCTTCCCTTTCTTCCCAAGCGCCCCCACTCTTCCTTCTCCTATCCTTGAAAGCCAGCCACCTTCGACGGGTCGACAAAGCCCGGCGACCATAGCCAGCCGAGGGGTTCGTAGATAAGGAAGCGAGAGTTCGTAAAGTCCTCTGGATCTTTGCCAAAGGAAAGGGTAAGAGTAGAGAGGAGAAGAGGTGAGGTTAAGGGGGGAAGGGTCTAGAGATAAAGATGGAGGAGGCTGGCAATCATGATACTCCCAACCATCAACAGCCGCCCACCCTTGGTTCAATCCCTTCCTTAGCGACCGGATCCGGCATCATTACCCCTGCAAACGCCAAGAAGCCCCGTTACGACTCTGGCCCATTCGCCAGCAGCGATCCAAGGCAGAATGACGGTCAAGACGATGATGACGACTTTCTTCAATCAGTCCCACTGCCCTCTCAGAACTCGGCCGATGACATATCGATCCAGACCAAGCCGGCATTCAATCAGCCACCAGAGTCACAACCGCCGTTCGACCAAGCTATGGACGAGCATCATGCGGAAATTGGCTTAATGGCTGATCCTAATACTCGAGAGGCCCTAGCATCGGGATCACCTCTTCGTCTTGGTTCTGATCATCATCTCGATCAGGGCGGCAACGAAGGCTTCGATATCTCCCCCGTCATGCTCGAGAGCTCTGCTCACGAACGTCATCCTGCCGAGCGTGATGGCGGTGATTTGATCAGGTCCTACTCTCCTCCTCTACCCGGATCGCTCGACATGCGTGGAATGACCCAGTTCGGAAGGAATCCAAACGGTGCGAATCCAAACACGAGTGTCAGCTTCCACGGGGACGCCGCTACCACAGCCTCGAGCGAGGAGGACTCGGAAGACGGAAGCTCGCGGTTCAAGTCTGGCATCCTATACGATTCCCTCATGATGCTCCACTCCAACCCGGTCGAGGAGCATCCGGAAGCACCGGAAAGAATCTCCACCATCTTCAGGCTCCTAAAGAAGCATGGATGCGTCTCCAGGATGAAGAGGATCGCTTGCCGCGAGGTCATCAAAGAGGAGGTGGCCCTAGTCCATGATATGGGCATGTGGGAAGGTCTTGAGAGATCAGCGTGTGAGTTCGAAAGGCGCGCGATGACCTATGTTTCCCTTCACGTTAGCCTCTCCCAGTGGACTGACACCGAACTACTCGCTCCCTCCGCCCCAGTCTTCGGAAGAGAGCTCCTCGCTGAGCAATGTCGTATGCTGGAGACCACATCGTCCCTGTATCTGAACGAGCATTCTGCACTTTGCGCCAGGCTCTCATGCGGAGGCACGATCGAGATGTGCGACGCGATTGCCTCGGGAAGGATTAGGAACGGGTTTGCTAT